GGATTTCTGGTTGGTCACATAGACATCTCTCTTTCAGTGGTCGGCTTGCGCTGATCAAGAGCACTCTTAGCTCTCTTCCGCTTCATCTTCTTATGGTCCTCGACCCCCTAGGTCTACTCTTGATGAGATTGAACAGATTATGGCTCGTTATTTCTGGGGTTACGAGGACGTCCACGGGAGGGGGAGACGTACCCACTGGGTGAGTTGGGACTCTATCTGTCACCCCTTCTCTGAGGGTGGCCTTGGCATCCGCCGCCTTAGGGATATTGTTACAACTATCTCCTACAAGTTGTGGTGGCGCTTCAGGGAAGGAAAGTCACTTTGGGCTCAGTACCTTCACGGTAAGTACTGCCCTAGACGTGCCAACCACCCTTGTTGGGTGACGGCGGTTGATCATGATAGTAGATAGTGGCGGCGCCTCACTAGGGTCGGTAGGTGCGCCCAGGATCAAATCTTCTGGGTGTTGGGTGAGGGAGAGGTTAGTTTATGGGATGAGTGGTGGTTAGGTGATAGGCCGTTGTCTAGGGATAGGCAGGTGTCGCATTCCCCCTATCTGCTTGTGAGTGACATTTGGACGGACGGGTCGTGGAATAGGGGGAAGCTTGATAGGGAGCTGGGCTCTGGTGCGGGTTTTAGCGAGCATTTATTAGATCAGATCCAACAGATACCCATCTCGGGGGATGGTTCAGATGGCATGAGGTGGAGACTTACATCATCGGGTGTGTTTTCTACTACCTCGGCTTGGGGGCAGATCAGGTAGAGAGATCGGCCTAGTCTTCTCTTCGGAGCCATCTGGAGCGACCTCTTCACTCCTACCATTTTGGTATTCCTTTGGCTCCTCCTCCTGTGCCGGATACCCATGGATAATGTGTTACATGCGAGGGGAATCTCATTCCCCTCTCGATATATGTGTTGTTCTGAGACTTGTCGCCATGAGACCGAGACCTTTTCCCACCTTTTTCTAGAGAGTGAGATTGTGAGAGAGTGTGGGAGCATTTTACCATCTGGACCCATATATACCTACCCACCACAGATAGTTTCTTTGAGCTCCTGAGTTTTTTCTCACGGAGAAACACCTTAGACACGTGGGCTTCCTCATTCCTTGTCTGATCCTTTGTTTCACCTGGACGGAGAAGAATAGTGCAAAGCATAGGGATATTACTTTTTTGCATTCTCACATTGTTTTGCAAGTAGGAGAGACATATTTCTCTCCTCACAGCATTGGGCAGGCTCACAACCCGAGACTGGATAGGCTGCACGCCGCCACACCGCTACATGGTGGCTTCATCACCGCCTGTCCAGCCCCCTCGGCCCAGAGTTGTTGTTTGGCTTCAATCCGACTCCCCTTGGGTCAAGCTGGACACTGATGGCTCGTTTGATCGCCATACCGGTGTTGCCGAAGAAGGAGGCTTGATCCGGGACCACAGCGGCACCCTCATCACCGCCTTCCACGCGCCACTTCAGGCCTCCTCGAGCTACGATGCAGAGATTCAGGCGTTACAGATTGGCCTTCAGATTGTTGTTCACTTATCTAGTCATATTTGGATCGAGCTGGACGCTGCGGTTGTCGCCACCCTCTTGACTTTGGGTCACCAGGGCTTGTGGCAGATTCAGCATCTGCTTATGTACATTAGAGCTCTACTTCGGTCGGTCCATCACAGGATCATGCACATTTTCTGTGAGGGGAACAGACCTGTTGACTACCTTGTGAGCCTTGGCGCCACTATACCAGACCAGCACACGTTTCAAACCGACACTGCTCTACTCCACCTTTGCACCCTTGTGCGGATGGACCAGCTTGGATATCCATTGTTCCGCTTTCATTAGATTAGATTTATTGCTTTCTCTAGATTAGGCTTTTATTCACGGGCATCTGTTAGCCCGAAGACAGACTTTGTATTGTTAATCCCATTTTGTTTTGTTTGTTTTGTTTGTGAGACTCTGTAGACTGTAGACTGTAGATATTTTGGCCCCCATTTTCGGGGCATGATCTATGTACATGTTGGGGATCCAACCCGATTCCTCTTTGGATAATAGGTACTGTAATCTAGCAACTAGTAACCTAACAACTACGGAGAACTAACCTAGCAACTTCAGACAACTAACCTAGCAACTACAAAGAACTAACCTACCACTACATATAACTAACCTTGCAACTACTAACCTAACAACTACAGAGAACTAACCTAGCAACTAGAGAGAACTAACCTAGCAACTATTAACCTAGCAACTACAAGAACTAACCTAGCAACTACAAAGAACTAACCTAGCAACTACATAGAACTAACCTAGTTACTATAGAGGTCCCTTCGGGGACATCCGATAAAATTGGAACGATACAGAGAAGATTAGCATGGCCCCTGCGCAAGGATGACACGCATAGAACCTAGTTACTATAGAGAACTAACCTAGTTGGAAGGTTAGTTGTCAACGGTCAACGCCTAAAGTCAACGGTCAATGCCGAAAGTCAACGGTCAACACTGAAAGTCAACAGATTTTGCCGAAAGTCAACGCTGGAAGTCAACGGTCAACACTACAGTCAATGGGTCAAAATAATATTTAAATAATTAAAATAATAAAAAGAAAAGAGTAAAACTTGGCCACACATGATGTACCAAATCTTGTGGCTAAAAATGAGTCTCAGTTTTAAGAATCGCATATCAAAATCAAATACAACATAATTTACGATGATTATGCGCCTTCTTTTCACAGGGCTATATCGACCTTGCAAATTTATAACTGTGCGAAAATCTTTCTCATATAATTCGCATAATTTGTTGAATTCGCATTTTCTGGAAATTGCATATCCAAGTCAATCGCATAATTTACTAGTATGCGAAAACATTCGCGTATATCTGCTGGATAATTGACAATTATGCGACATTTTTTCGCTCGCATATTGAAGAATCGCATAACCAAATCGAATAAAGCATAATTTAATTTACGATTACGCGCCATTTTTTTTGCAGGGCCATATCGACATGGCATTTTTACGACTATTCGAAATTTGATCGCATATCTGTCGCATAAGTTAAGCACCTCCTTAATTGACTTCTTTTTCACAGGTGAGGATTTTGTCTCTGCATTCGTCATGTAGGCCAAAAAACAGTGATCTCTAACAATTGAACGTCTGCATCATTCAGCTACTGCATTTTTTTGCTTCTTTCATTTTAATTCTTTTTGTTGTTCACTTATTATTCAAATGGCTAGCAACCGTGTTAGAGTATTGGTGCACTTTGATGGTTTGTTTTACGGGGGTTCATATCTTGGTGGAGTGGCAGAGCTGATGAGAATAAATTACGGCCGACAAATGTATTCTGAAATAGTTTCTCGTGCACAAGCATTATTAAAGGTCGATCCTTGTAATTTTGAGTACATATTGTGGGCAGTGTTTGATGGAAGGGAACGAGTTGTGAAGATAAAAATTGAATCCAATGACAATATCTTAGAGCTGATTGAAGAACAAAAAAATCTCAACATTTACGAGAAGCGAGTAGATGTAGGGATTCCGGGGACGGCGCAACAAAGCTTGACGCAAATGATGGCGTCCCAAAGTGTATTTCCTAGTTCTTTTGGTGTTGGTGGTTCTGCATTTTCCCACGAGGCCCCATATTCACATCAAGCAAGCCTTAGTTCATTTACACATAATGGATATTTTCGGGGCGCTGATGATCAAACCGCAGGTTGTTCAAACCAACCAGGTCATTCTCGTGACGATGACAATAATGATGACCAAACCACCACGCACAATGATGACTCAGGCAACAAAGACAAATAGATCAATGATAAGAAAATGTTCAAGCTTTTCAAGGCGTGGTATTGCGAGCATATTGAAGAGTTAAGATTAATTACCGACCATATTGAGGTTGAAAGTCTTGCATATATGAATTGAGGTAGCACTCGGCAATCCGACGTTGAACCACGAATGTGGTCCCTTCCTATGCCGCCCACGACAACTGGATCAGATAGACAACCCATCCACTTACCCTCGAACAATATAGAATTATCTTTGGGGTCTGTCTTTCTTTCGAAAGAAGAGATGATTTGTGCCATACAACAGTATCACTTGCAACAAAAAGTTGAGTGTTGAACACCCAAATCCTGCACTTCTAGGTTACTATCTATTTGTCGGTATGAAGGGTGTTCTTACAAGTTATGTGCAAGGACAAATCGAGATGTATGAAGAATCACTATTTTGAAAGTCGAGCATACATGCGAAGGGAGTTTGACGCACAATTGACAACGTTCGGCTAATTCCAAGGTTCTCGCTCATATTTACGCACCAACTATTCAGACAAATCCCCAGACGGTATCTACACGGAGAAATATTGAACAAATGTGGGAAGAGCATGGTTTGTCGATCAGCTACAATGTGTCCCTCTGAGCAAGACACCGTGCTTTTGAAAAATTTTATGGAGGTCATGAAGAATCATGGGGGCGGCTTCCCGATTACTTGCAGATGTTGCAGGTTCGTAATCCAGGTACAATTGTTGAACTGCAACGAGATGGCGAGGTATTCCAACACTTGTTCTTTGCTCTAGGAGCTAGCATTGAGGGCTTTCAACGAGCTGGTGTCCCGGTGATTGCGATAGATGGTACCCACTTGAAGGGAAAATACAAGGGCGTTATGTTTGTTGCAGCCACATTGGACGAGAATCACCAAATCTTTCCCCTAGCAGTTGGCATTGGTAATGTAGAGCGTCGTGAGACTTGGAGTTGTTTTTTGACTCAATTGAAAAGGGCCTATGGTTGTCCTGATAACCTCCTCATGGTATCGAATATACATGAGTCTATCATATATTCTGTCTCATTAGTGTTCCCCGAGGCGCATCATTCATTTTGCTATTATCACATCACAAAACAAATGAGGCCTTTTGGGAAATCTGTCTTGGACATATTTTACAAGGCGGCATATTGTTATCAGTGTGAAAACTTCTATCGTTACTTGTCATCCATCCAAATCCTAAAACCCGAAGCATTAAAAAAGCTAACTAATGAAATTTCGGTAAATGCTTGGGCGAGGTGTTTTACACATGTACGGTGCTATGGATTCATGACATTCAATTCATGCAAAAGTTTGAACAACAAACTCCGTTGGGCCAGGATGTTACCCGTTTGCTCGTTGTTGGAGTGTGTTCGAGCAACGATAGAGAAATGGTTTGCTGTTCGGTGTGCATCCGCCGAGGGTCGCAATCATCCGCTAACGCAATGGACTCAAATGCGGTTGGATCCTTTGTTCGAGAAAGGTCGTAATCTATCCATTACCACACTCGGCATGCAACGTTATAAGGTTATGGAAGAAACACAATCCTACGTGGTAGATTTAGAGGCAAGAACATGTGAGTGTCTTGTGTTTGAAACAGATCTACTACCTTGCTTACATGCATCTACGGCCATTCGGTAATGTTTACCAAACAACATTATCGTTTTTTTCTTTAAAAAAAAAATTGTTATATTCTAATATGATGCGCATTTACGGTATGTAACAAGGAAGCCGGGATAGATATAATGGATTTCGTTAACGATCATTACAAAACATACTTAGTTGCAAGGATGTACCAAAGCACCGTTAACCCCGTCCTGCATCCAGATGAATGGCACTTGCCCCTGGAAATTATGCGTAAAAAGGTAATTCTGCAAAATGATCCTAAACAAGCAGGTCGGCCACGGACTCAATGTTTTTCTGCTGGAGAAGGATCATCACGTCGAGTACGGCGTCAGCAGATGTGCTCACGATGCAGGGTCACTAGGCATAACAGGGCGAAGTTCCCTCTATACGATAGTGATAATGACTTTTTTTTCAAATGAAGAAGGTCAAAACGCACCAACTTCTCATCCAAGAACAACATTGCAACGACCGAGGAGATGTCGTACATGTAAAGAAACAGGTCGCAAATCGTCATTTTGTCCATCATGTCTATTCCATGCCAATTAAGATGAAGATGGAGACGTTATGTAATATTATGTACCTCATTGCAGTTTTTAATTGTAAACCAATTTAACGGAAACAATACTTTTAACGGGAAAAATACTGTGTTGGTGCCCTAAGTTGTGACCTGCACACGATTGACTAACAAAAATTAGTGAAACTGGGTTGATTGCGCGATTCGCATAACATGTCCCATAATAATCGCACAATTGGGTTGATTGTGCGATTCCCATATCATATTGCATAATAATCGCACAACTGGGTTGATTCGCCTACTCTTCAACCGCAAAATTAACGAATTGTATATCCAAATCGAAAGCCGCATAATTTACGACTATCCGCCATTTTTTCGCATATCCATATAGACAGCATTGATTGATTGTCTGCACCGCATATCCAAATCGAAAGTGCTTCGCATATAATTCGCATACGTTACGCACCACATTGATTGATTGTCTGCACCGCATATCCAAATCGAAAATTCTTCACACATTGTTCGCATATATTACGCACTGCATTAATTGATTGTCTGCTTTTACACCTAAAAAAGTATGACGATTTGCATGCTTCCTCATTTAGTTATCGAGTTGATGTATATCTATCTAGCCTTAAATGCTATCTGTATTTATTAACCTTTCATTCTCTTTGTTGAAGAGGCGACCTTTCACTTCTCAAAAACCAATCTTTCCATCGCAACCAAAAAAAAAAAAGAAATGGAAAGGATTTCAACCTTTGAAAAAGATCGCGATCCGCTTTCGTGGCAAATGTTTTTCAAAAAGTGCCGTCAGAAGGCAAACATATGTTGGACTGACTGCAACAATAATAAATATTTTTTTCTTCGGTCAAGTATGTGTTTAATCATGGTTCATATGTCAAAACAAAACAATACGTTGCATGGACAACGAAACCATTAATGTCCGTCAACAGAGTTTTCCCAGCAAAATCAGCGACAATATTCGAAAGGAAATTATTATTCGCAAAACTGTGAACAAAGTGCGATAATTCGCATTGTGTTCGCATAACGTAATGAAAAAAAAAGTAATTTATATTTTTTAATCGCATATCCAGGCCAGATCAATCAAACGCATCATTTAGGAGTATGCGACATATGTTCGCATAATTTAAGATTTGCATATCCAAATCTATAAGTCTAGATAACTATCGATTATGCATTGTTTTCGCATATTTATGAATCGCATATCCATATAAACCTCGTATAAATGTATCAATATGTGAACACATTTCGAAAAGTGTTACGCACCGCTTTTTTTCACCTAATAGTTTTTCAATTTATTATTAATTTAGTCAAAGAACAAGAATTTTCCAAAATTTACCAACTCTTCGAAAAATATGCGACGTTTGTATGTCGCAATTTTGTACGCCGCGGAATAGAAAATTTACAAAAATAAATATAAAAAAATATATGTTATTCGTTATAGTACGAGTGTTATGCAGTTTTTATGCGGAAATGTTTCGAGTAATAATCGCAGGTTCTTTCGCCTAATAGTAGTCTTCTTCAATTCATTATTAAATCACAAACAGAACTTTCAAAAAAAATAAATTTTATAAAATTAATTATGCACCAATTCTGCGAATAATATGTGACGTATATATGTCGCAATTTTGCATCGACTCAACTACTTTACATCGACTAATTTTGTATAGGCGAATAATATGTGGCGCATGTACGCCGCAATTTTACATTGACTCAACTACTTTACATCGACTATAATAGTTTACAAATAACCTTACAACGGCACAAACGAATTACTAGATAGAGGAGGCTACAACAGCGAGTTGAACAACAGCTTGAAAGATCAGAAGCAATTGGATGACTGTGATGAAGTTGGAGAAACATGGGGAGATAAACAAGTTGGTCTGCGAGTTGAATGAATTCGCCATCCCTTGTTTGACTTTTGATAAACATTTGAAAGTCTCAATCTAGTATACTAGGAAGAATAACCACCTTTGTCTTTGAAAGCGTGCTCCCTTTCGCCGTCGTAGGCGCCTCAATCTAGTAAACCCCGAAAGACCAAGTAATTCGCCAGAGATTCTACGTCTTCCCAAACACATGGTCATCTAAAGCTTTTTCAGCCTCCGATGTTTTAAGCTTCCAATATGAGGCAACCATGTGCCTGGGCAGACGTGGGATCTCCAGGGAGAGTGCTTGGACTTCCGAGGTATACTAGATTGAGGAGGCTACGACGGAGAAAGAGAGCACGTCCTCAAAGACAACAGGAGGATCAAGACCCATCTCTCAATTCTTCAACCTTCGATTTTTCTCAACATGTCCGTACAATGAAGATACTTTAGTGACCGGCATTTTGAGGAAAATCGAGAGTTGAACAATGTTGAGAAAATGGTCCTGATCCTAATTCAATCGTCTCATCTCAGCTACCTTTTATAGAAAACTCAAGAAGATATCTATCCCCCTTGATACGCGCGCCGTTATTAATTTGCCGAAGACTGAGGGGACGTTTTAGAGCGATTCTTCAAATTCGCAGAGCTGCGAACATAATGCGATGAATCGAACTTCATTTGCATAACTTTCTGACAATAAATGATTTCACATATCTGGTTTAAAGAAGATCTACTCAAGATACTAAATATCCTCCTTGATACGCGGGCCGTTATTATGCACTGAAGAG